ACATCAAACACTAGCTCACAATATGCCAGACATTTCAATTTCTAGGGAGGCGCTGAGGCTGAGTCATACTCGGTCAGGATCAGAAGGGATAGAGTATGGGCCTCTTACTCGCCAATGTGTGTCCTGTTCTTTTAACAGATTGTCCCAATGGCCATCCGTGTGCTGTAGGAGAGGTGAGTTTTGGTGTTTGGGTGGGTGGGAGCTCAAAATGTGTGGTTCCCCCCGTGCTGAGAAGAGGGGGAAGGAGAAGGAAACACAGGCTTGTTCTGAGGACCACTCAGGGTGTTCTAAATAAGTGCTAACTGTGCTGAGGGCTGCTATCCCAGGGCTCTCCATGGAGCACCATGGGCACTCTCCACTGGGGCTGCCCCTCCCTTTTCAGGACAGTTAGCATCATGCATGGTCTCTACACAGTAGGGTACTAGTACCAACACCTACCGAAGTGTGACAGGCTAGATTGTTTCCTGACGTTGCCTCGGGGCCATGGACCCCAAAGGGCTGCTGGTTGGTAGTTACTCCCTCCTCAGACCACACAGCAGGAGTCAGTGACACTACAGAATGGGAAAGACACCCAAGAGTAGGCCCATGGAGGAGAATGAATGTAATCATCATCCGGGGACACCCAGGTGCCACCTCAGGCCCTGTGCTTGCTGAGAGACTGGAGGGAAAATCCTGAGGCAAACTGAGGTTCACGTCCTTCCTTGTCCATGAAATGAGGTAGAAAGAGGTTCTTCCCCAGGCTGCTCTGGACTATGGAGTTCTACAGTCGGAAGGACTACAGCTGCTTTGGTGTGCTGGGGGCCATGTGTTACAGTACAGAGGCACACTATCTAACTTTTTTTCTTTTGGTTTTTCAAAACAGGGTTTCTCTCTAACTGTGGCTATCCTGGAACTTACTTGGTAGACCAGGCTGGCCTTGAACTCGGAGATTTATTTGCCTTTGCCTCCTGAGTGCTGGGATTAAAGGCATGTGCCACCACTGCCCAGCACCATCTAACTTTTTTAAATGTGCCCTTAGGAATAATAAATCTATGGTTGTATATAAAAAATATCAGACAGGAAGCAAGTGACGCCATGTATCTTGGTGTCAGATAGTGAAGCCTTAAGATGAGTGTACAAATACAGGATAGGGATAAAGAGCTGGGTATAAGAAAGCAAAATGTGCTTCAGGTTTTCCTATCAGGTGTCAGTCAATTTGGGACTCAAACTTATGTCTGCTTTCCATAAAAGTCTGTACTTGCCCACTGTTAACACACTTACAGTAAGTTTCCACCCTGTCCCCATACCACACCCCCTAAATATATATACACAGAAGAAGCAATCCCAGACTTCCTATGGCAGAGAGGGTCACTACACAACATAAAACATCATTGTATTCTCTCTAGTGCGGCAAGCCAATGGAGCAGAGCATCTGTCCGGACTGTGGTGCTCTGATTGGAGGTGTCAATCACAATCCATATGAAGGCTTCCATCCCATCAGGTACATAAGCTTCTGCTCCTCCTAGTAATCAGCCCTGGGCTTCAGCACTGTTCCAATTCTTCTTCCTAAACTGCCAGTAGCTTGTGCCAAAGACACTCTCATACATCTGGATCTATGTTATGCTTGGCACCAGCTCCAGTGCCAAGGTCCCTGTCATCAGGAAACCATAAGGTGCTGTCACTGGTCTACAGCACAGAGTGGCCTGCACATTAATACTTGCTAATACAGACATGTTCTCTGGGGCCTATAAATACGTCCTGATTCAGGACAGTAGGTCTAATACACTGAAATAGTAGCTGCCTATTTCAGCACATGATGCCGGACTTGTAATCTATCGTAGTTCTCTCTCATCTCCTTTCTACCCTCCTGTAGTTTTGGGGGTTTTGTTTTGGTTTGGTTTTTTAACATAGGATTTCATACTATACCCTTGGCTGTCCTGGTACTTGCTATGTGCCCCAGGCCTGACTCAGCCCCGAGTGCTAGGATTACAGGGGCATGCCACCACACCGGGCTTGTTTTTGTTTTCTGAGATGTGAGGACAATGAAGGACACATAATCAGGCTTGTCAGATACTGCCCCATGCCTTGGTCTGTGTGAGGGGTGAGTTTGAAGACACCCACACTGCATTCTAAGACCCGTCAGAAAAGTTGTTCCTTATCTAAGATGGCACAGGCATAAAAGAGGATGGCACACCTTTCCCCATATGCTTGGAATTATGTAGCCTGTCCACAGTCCCTGTCACAGTGTGAGTGCTGTGTAATACTTGTCCTACTGCATTGTGTAGGGGACTGGGACAAGAAAGCAAAGCTGGGTCTGGAGAGATGGCTCAGAGGTTAAGAGCACTGACTGTTCTTCCAGAGGTCCTGAGTTCAATTCCCAGCAACCACATGGTGGCTCACTACCATCTGCAATGCGATCTGGCACCCTCTTCTGTATATATAAATAAATCTTTAAAAAGAAAGGAAGGAAGGAAGGAAGGAAGGAAGGAAGGAAGGAAGGAAGGAAGGAAGGAAGGAAGGAAGGAAGGAAAGAAGAAAAGAAGAAAAGAAGAAAGGAAGGAAGGAAGAAAAGAAAGCAAAGCTGGCCTGGTTTTGGTTTGTAGTTGCTTGGCTTTGGAGATACAGAGGGCCTGTCCTAACAGACTTCACACTCTAAATAATAGTCTGCTCCCATGTTTCTGACACAGTGCAGCCGGCCACTCCCTTGTGATTGGTTGGTGGGGCCTATCTGCAGTACCATACATTTTGATGCTCCTGGTGTAGTCAAAGCTTACACTATTCCAGCTGCTTTTCTCCAAGACCTAACAAAATGTCCTCGACATGCAATATCTTTGCAACTGTATGTACACACCATATCTCCTACCTACTGCCTATGATGCAAAAAGTTCTGCCAGACCTTGGATCCTAATTTATGACTGGGGAAATGAGAAGAATGTGAAAAATACATACATGGGTACAAACTGTTCCAAACTCGAGCTGTCCAGAGATGGGTGCATGCTTCTGCCCTGATGCCTTCTCAGGAATCAGCTTCAGTAGCCATTTTATGTAGCCACCTTAAACTGAGTCTTGGGGAATTGGTCAGCCAGAAGGGAGTTCTGAAAAGAAATCGGTGCATAGGCAGGCATCCCAGGCCTAGAAGGACTTTTAATTGTTGTTTGCTCAGAGCATGGAACCCTATCTCCAAGTCTGAGGCTCTGAGATGTGCCACTGCAGCTAGGGAGAGTGGCCTCTTTTAGTCTTTGACCATGTCTCTTCTCTTCCTTTGCAGTGAAAATGAGGACAGAACACAGACTGGTCATGTGCTGGGCGGCCCGCAGCCCGGGGGTGCAGCTGTGGCAGCTGATCGAGGGCTGTCCCCAGTGGTCTTCATTCTCACTCGGCTGCTCACTCATTTGGCTATGCTTGTGGGGGCCACTCAGAATCCCCAGGTACTTGTCATAAGCTGCTACACGGCCCTTTTGTCTTCAACCTGCTCCCTGGTGCCTGTGGAGTAGGAGTACATTGTTGGTACCTAATCTGCCAGGTGACAGAAACCTAAGGTCTCCTGACCTTTTTCACCACACAGAATGGGATGAAGTGCTTTTCAGATCATATAAAATCCATTTATTTTTTTCCTTCCCCAAACAGTCTCACTATGCAGCCCTGGCTGTCCTAGAACTCACTCTGTAGCCCAGGCTGGCCACAGACTCAGAGATCCACCTGTCTGTGCCTCCCGAGTGCTGGGATTAAAGGCATGCACCACCAAGCAAGCATTTTTCATTTTTATTAGTATTTTTTCACAGTGCTCCAGAGGTCAGAGTTCTATCACTGAATGATACCTAGCCCAGCTTTTTAAAACAGACACCAACTAATTTTCTGTGTTTATGAGACTAGATCTCATCTGTACAGAGTGTAAGGATCAGATCCACTTTCAGAGTGCAGCATGGGGAGGCTAAGGTCATCCATGCTGTATCTCCTTCATATCAACACTGGCCAAGACGACAGAAAGTTCAAGGTTAGGTCATCTACTGTCAGACAAGACCACAGCCTGCTTCTGCCTGTCTCCTCCACCTCTGCCGTTACATCACGCAGCTTAGAAGACAGCCTCTGACTTGATGCTGGTGTCTCTCTCTTCCTGGCCTCTCCCGAGCTCACATTTCCTCTGTCCATGAGATGTTCTGAACATTTGTTTCCTCGCTCCCAGGCCCTGATCAGGATCATTAAGCCTCAGGTTCTGGACTCACAAGCCTTCCTGCAGCAGCACATCCAGAGAAACCTGGAACAGCTAACCAAGATTCTGGGCAGGAGTGCAGACGAGACCATCCACGTGGTACACCTCACCCTGTGCAGTTTGCTCAAGGAGCAGCATCCTGTGTTTGGCCAGAGTAAGCAACGTGGGCAAGGGCTGAGCTAGGCTGAGGATCACTTCCCATGGCTCCTCAGTGAGTGAAAACTCAACTTGAGCTAAGCATGGTGACCATAATCCTAGTACTTGGGAAGCTGAGGCAGGGGTATTGTGAGTTCAAGACCAGTATGGGCTTCACAGTAAAATCCTTTTTCAAATAAACAGAGATGGGATGGGAGAAAAAGCATGAACTCTTACTGGGGTGAAGAGGTTGCTCTGTTGCCCCACCCACCCACATATCTAACAAGGACCTTTGACCTTTCCTTCTTGGAACACACAAGTGCAAACACACATGTCATTCAAAGCAGGTGACATGTGCCCAAGAATCAGTCACTATCCTTGCTTCTGCTCTTTACTGAGACTCCCATGGCTGTGCACTAGCCCCGTAGTTGACAATGGACTGTTTCCATGTACACTACTTATTCAAGAAAAACAGGCACTGCTCACTGGGCTGATGCGTCTGTCCTAACCGTCTAAATCTACTGAGAAAGGTAATGAGTGTCACTGGAGATGGCATCATTGAGAATGACTTTGTTTGGGGTTTTTGTTTGTTTTCCGAGATGAGGTTTCCCTGTGTAATAGCTCTGGCTGTCCTGGAACTCACTTGGAGACCAGGCTGGCCTCAGACTCAGAGACCGCCCGCTTCTGCCTCCCAAATCATCAGTGTGAAGAGCACTGTTTGTTTACTTTATTAGGGTGGGGGTGCACACTTGCCTCGCCTGTGTACGGCAGAAGACAACTTTCAGAGTTAGCCCTCACCTTCCACCTTGTTGAGAGGAGGTCTCTCTTGGGCTGCTGCTGTGCATGGTCAAGGCCAGCTGGCCTGTGAGCTTGGATGCGATGCTCCTGTCACCAGCTCCATCCAGCTCCTGAAGCACCTGAATAACAGGTTCTCTGTGGGTCCTGGTATAGAACTCAGGTTGTCAGGCTTGCATAGCAAGTGCCTTTACCCACGAAACCAACCTTCTAGACCACTGTGGGGTTTTGTTTGTTGTCTTTCTGAGACAGAGTTTCTCTGTGTAGCCTTGCCTGTCCTGGAACTTAGTTTGTAGACCAGGCTGGCCTCAACTCAGAGAGTTCACCTGCTTCTGCCTCAGGCATGCTGGGATTAAAGGCATGCGCCACCATGCTTGACCTACTGTGTTACTTTAAAATAAGGCAATAACAACAAAAAGTGCCACCTGCAAACAGGAACCTCACTCCTCTTGGCCTGCCTCCCCAGTCAGATTTCAGGGTATTTACTATTTAGTAAAACCTCATTTTCCTGAAAGTCCATTGTTTTGGTGTGAGGGAGTCCTAGAAGCCTGCCACTACCTCAGGATCTACACCACCCACCCTCCTGGGTCCTGCCTGCTCTGGCTGCGGGTCTGGGGTAGCAGCTGGAGTGGCTGGTGGTGGCATGGGCCACTGTCACTGCTCCAGAGCTTGTGATTTTAAATTCTGTTCTTGGTACTTTTGTTTAGAATGGCTTTGTGGTAGCCATATGGGATCAGAGGAACTGACTGAGGTTGAGATGTCGTCGTCACAAAGGTGGCAGCAGCAGATGATTGCATCAGGGACTGTTAACATCCTCAGTGTACTTAGGAAGGTACTTCCTGTTGTGCCTTGGGTGTGAGACCCCTGAAGAGACCACCAGAGACAGGAACTCACCGAAATGCAAAAACAAGGTTTATTTCAATTCAAGTCGCAGCAGGGACCTTGGATGAGCACCCTGACACAGCGGAGGCTAGAGGAGGTGGCCGCCCCCCTGCAAGCTCAGGTTTTAAAGGCAAAAGCCATAAGGTTACATCAGCTAGAGGTGCTAGTATGGGTACAATTCTGATTGGCTCAAGTTTTAGGGGCTTTTCAGAATTTCTGTGTTATCTTACTTTGTAGTTTTAACCAGTTGTTTGTCAAACTGTATAAACTACCTCCGGCACTGAGCATTCTGTGGTTAATCATTTGTCACCAGATCGTCCTTCAAACATGCTGACTTTGTCCCTTGACCTATGTCAGCAGCTCTGAGAATCTTGAAACTCAGGCCAGTTTCAAGCTGGGGTGATGGGCTTGCTTGAAATGGGGGTGCTTTGGCTCTTCACGTCCCCCATATGGAACATTCTGTTGACACTTATTTTGTGCTTACTGTATGCAGGCTGCTATGGGTACTTAGGAAGGTACTTCCCCTACATGGAATGTTCTGTTGGCAAGTATTCCGTGCTTACTGTATGCAGGCTGTTATGGCTCTTGTTTTACGACAACCCACACATTCTTATTTTATTTGTAGGGAAGTTAAATTTTAGTGCAGAATTGTCAACCAAAGGTTGCAGAAACGACTGGGAGAAGCATTTTGAAGCTCTTCTTCTACCTGAATTGGAGGTGAGTGTGACTGTCACTTCTCTAGAGTAGGAGGAGGGTCTCCCACAGATCTGCTGAGCAGGCTTTGCCCATCATCCCTGGGGAAGGGCTGCAGGGGCCTCTACTAAGCCTCAGATTTCAGTATCCTCAACCTATAGCCTGTTTATCATCACTGAGGATGGCAGGAGATGAGGGTATGAAGCAGACCTGCTGTGCTGTAGAGAGACATGCTAGGATGCACAGCGGCTGGAGATGAAGTGCTCTTCTGTCAGATAAGAACATGACTGAGAGGAAGGAGGCATACCACAAGTGAAGTGAGGAAGGGGATGAAAGAAGAGCAATGGGTACAGACCTCTTAGTCCCCTGTATACAGGGAGGCAAACCCTGCAACAAAGTACAGTTGGATTGTAATAGAAGCCAGCAATGGGACAGGGAGATAAGGAGGGAGCCACAGTAAAGTTATCTGTGTCCCAGCCCGTGTGCAACAGTGTTGCAGTTGAGAATTCTGTATCATTTTCTCCGTCCAGCATCTTGACAAAAACTTGGCAGCTGTAAATGCTCTTATCAGCCAAGATGAGCGCATCAGCTCCAACCCTGTGGCCAAAATCATATATGGGGACCCAGCAACCTTCCTGCCTCACTTGCCCCAAGAAAGTGTGGTTCATTGCTCAAGGATTTGGAGCTGCAGGAAGAAGATCACAGTGGAGTACCTGCAGCATATTGTGGAACAGAAAAATGGCAAAGAAACCGTGCCTGTTCTCTGGCACTTCCTCCAGAAGGTAAGGTGCATGTGACTCCTGGGTGACCTTGCTTTTCCTGTGCAGATGATTCCCAGGAACCAGGAAGCCCTGAACCTTTGCTCAGAACAGTGGTTCCTAGGCCAGAGCTCTGAGCAGCTGCCAGTGCTGTGGCTCTAATGGAAAGTTGGTAGCGGACTCAGGAGAAAGGGAGGTCTTCAGCCCTTGCCTACAGTCTCAGGCAGTCTGAAGCTTAGTCACATGTAAAACACATGTGAGTTGGTCAGTGGTCATCTGAAGAGAACTTGAGGGCCAGGAGGCTACCTGGCCACTCAGCAACAACAACAAAGGTACAGGTCTCGAGCCATGTCTCTTCCTCTTGACTTGGAGTGGAAGGCTATCTGCAGTGCGTGCTGACTGCAAATATTATAAAAAATATAAAGACTTCCTCCCAACTTTTGAACCTTCTAGGCATAGACTGAAGTTGGGAATGTGAGCTGGAAGCAGGTTGGAGAGCTATGAGATGCAGCAATCCTGTCTAAGACCCAGAAACACACACAGTTCCTGTATCCACTGGATTTCTCGTCCACAGTGGGTTTTTTTATTTCCCTGAGGACCAGTGTTTGCGGCTAGCACAGTGATTCAGAAACTCCTGGTGTTCACTAAAGTAACCTCCTCCTGTCAATGCTGTGACTTCTCTTGGGTAGTTTTCTTTGCTTGAAGGAGCTCGGGTCTGAGGCTTTGGAACAATAGCCACTACTAACTGCTTGGCCTTTTGCTTACACCTTCTCACACACTCAGTCACATGGGCACAAGAAACCATTTCTTTATCTTTATAATTTTAATAATTATAATTATTAATATAAAATATATACAATAAGGGTTTCCATGTTACATTTCTACACATACACAGAGAATGCACTGATGAATCCTGCCTCTTCCTTCCATCTGCTGCCCAACAGATGGGCTGAGAAAGTGGTCACATCATCAAATCACTGTCTTTCTCTGTCCACATGGATCATGCTGGAGACCAGTGGAGTAGAATGGTGATTACTGTCCTACCTCTAAGTCGACTTCTCTTAGCCTGTACATATGAGTGTGTGGTATTTATCTTTCTGATTCTGACTTATTGCATTTGCTAAAGTGACCTCTTACAGCTTGAGAGATGGCTCAGCTGTTAAGAGCACTGGCTGCTCTTCCAGAGGACCTAAGTTTAATTTCTAGCAATCACATGGTAGCTCACAACCATCTATAATGGGATCTGATACCCTCTTCTGGCATGCAGACAAGCATGCATAGAACTCATGTATGAAAGTAAATCTTAAAAACAAATGTACAGTGACCTAAACCAACTGTATCCACTTTTCTGAAGACAGCAAGATTTTATTCATCTTGTGCTCTGTGTCTGAGTGTCTGCCTTTGAGATATATGCCACACATTCTCTGCCCATTCATCTGCTGACAGACATCTAGGCTGAAACTGTCTTAGCTCTTGTTACTAAAGTCACAGAAAACGTGGATGTGCATGTGTGTCTTTGGTCTGTTGATCTCATTTCCTTTGAGTACATAAGCAGAGGGAAGGCTAGGCTTGTGGAAATTAACGTTTAAGTTTTTGAGGCCCCTCCATACTCTTGGGCATAATAGCCGTTCTAATTCACACTCAACCTCAATGTTGCTCCGTTCTCCACATCCTGGCCAGAATCTGCCACTTGCTCTTTCCTTCACTCGCCTGCTGATGAGGGAAGCCGGGGATGGGATCCTGTGCAGCTCTGCTTGGTCTCTGATAACTAGTGATGTGTGGCGTTTCTTCATATACTTGCTGGCCATCTTTTCTTTTGAGAAGTATCTTTTCAGATCATTTGCCCATTGTTAATGGGATTGTTCGGATTGTTCTTGAGTTCCTCACATACTCTGCACATGACCCTTTTTAAGGCAAACGGTAAATCTTTACTTCTCTTCTGTAGACTGTCTTCACCCCATTGACTGCTCCCTTTCCTGAACAGAAGGTTTCCAGTCCGCAGAGCCCCACTTGTCAATTAGTGCTTTTGGATTCCTGCCCAGAAACCACTCTTCACTTCAGCATGTTCCCCCTGTTTTCTCCTGGCAGTTTTGGGTCTTACATTTAGGTATTTGGTCCATCTTGGGGTGAGTTTTTTTTTCATACCAGATGAGACAGGATTCAGTCCCATTGGATTTCAGCACATAGGCTTGGCTCTGGGTGGGCTGTGTGTAGAACTGTGTAACACTGCAAGCCATTTGTGGGTACTTACAGAAAGAATGGGGTGAGCCTTTTCCTGTTTCTAAATTCTAGGGTACATCACTATGTAAAATGGGACTCTGACCAAATGAAATCAGCACACCAATCCCCCAGCACTCACAAAGTGTACATGCCTGACAGCATTCCTTAGGTAAATTAGAGGCATCGCTACTAAACCATCTTCCTTTCTGCAGGAAGCAGAACTAAGGCTGGTGAAATTCTTGCCTGAGATCTTGGCCCTGCAAAGAGATCTAGTGAAACGATTCCAGAATGTTTCAGAAATGGAGTACAGTTCCATCAGAGGTTTTATTGGAAGTCACCCATCAGGTATGACTCTGCCCAAGCTCTAGAAGGAAATCAGGGCCCTCTAAGTTTAACAGAGGGAGGGACGAGGGCTCAGTAACTGGTGTGATGTGCCTTAAGCTTTCGGCATGAGGTGAGGTGACACTAATTCCAGCTAGCTCAGCTGCAGCAGGAAAGCAGAGTTGGGTCTGTCCAGAGCTTGTACCTGGTGGGTCAGAAGTTGGCTGTGTTGTAGTCACGGTTCTTACCAAATGCTTTACTCAACAGAGGGGCTGAGAAAGCAGTTCCAGGATCGGATCACCGTCTTTCTGTCCACATGGAACGCGCTGAGGCGGTCACTGGAGACCAATGGTAAGTGTCCTCCCCCAGCAGAGTGTCCCAACAGGATGTGCTACACACACACTGCTCCAAAACTCAGCTCCACCTGTTACAGCCAGCACCGTGCAAGCTCTCTAGGTGTCTTCAGATGGAGGCTGTCCTAGAGTGACTAGTGCTGTGATGAAACAGGATGACCAAAAGCAAGTTGGGGAGGAAGGGGTTATGTGGCTTATTTCTGCCTCAGCACTGTTCATCACCAAAGGAAGTCAGGACAGGAACTTAAGCAGGGCACAAACCTGGAGGCAGGAGCTGATGCAGAGGCCTTGGAGGGCTGCTGCTTACTGGGTTGCTCAGCCTGCCTTGTGATAGAACCCAGGACCACCAGCCCAAGGATGACACCACCCACAATGGGCTGGGCCCTCCTCCATCAATCACTAATTAAGAAAATGCCCTACAGCTGGGTCTTATGAGGGGAGGCATTTTCTCAATTGAGGCTCCCTACTCTAAATTCTAGCTTGTGTCAAGTTGACATAAGACTAGCCAGCACAGAGGATCTCAGAAGTATGATGGCATTAGAGCTTCCCTCTTCTTGAATCCATCTCTTGAAAACTTGTCAGCATGTCTGTTAGAGGCAAGACCTTCAAACGAGCACCCTGCTCTGTGTTAGCTGCTGGGACCAAGTCTGTGTGCCTCTTTCCCTCACCTTGATGTAACAGCATGGGGCAAAGCTTACCTCTCCGCTAAGGAATAACCCTGTCATTTCCAGGTGAGATCAAGCTACCAGAAGACTTCTGCCGCTCCGAGTTGGATCTGGATGCTGAATTTGAGGTCATCCTTCCACGTCGACGGGGCCTGGGCCTCTGTGCCACTGCCTTAGTCAGCTACTTAATTAGCCTGCACAACCACATGGTCTACATGGTGCAGAAGTTCTCTGAGGAAAACAACAGGTGTGTGCACAAGGCAACTGATGGGGGCGCTTGTCCAGCCCTAGGCTCCTGAGCCCCTGTCAACTTCTGCTCTTCCATGGCAGACCTCCCTTAGCCGCTCTCTCCAGAATCCTCCATAGATAAACAGACCACAGAGCTGAAGCGGGCGTGTCCCCGTGGGTCTGCTCTCGATAGCAATTGTGTGTCTGTGTCCCTCAGCTATTCTGTAGACACCTCTGAGGTTACTGACCAGCATGTCATCAGCTATGAGGTGGAACGGGACCTGACGCCACTGATTCTCTCCAACTGCCAGTACCAAGTGCATCAGGGTGGAGAAACCTCACAAGAGTTTGACCTAGAGAAGATCCAGCGGCAGATCAGCAGCCGCTTCCTCCAGGGCAAGCCCAGGCTGACCCTCAAGGTAGGCTGAGCCTGCTTCTACTTATGTGCTTGGTATGTCTGTAAGGAATAAGAGACCCTTTGTATGTTTTGAGGAACACAAGTGTGCACTATACCACCCACAATCCCCTCTGGATCATCTCCTTGCCACCCAGAGCATGCATGGCCACAGCGCCATCAGTCTCCTGGCTGTGGTGATCTCAAGATCTTTGTGCCACAATCCGCACCTCAGTCTCCCAAAGGCAGCCTCTGGTCTCAGTGGACTTAGCATTTAGTTTTTCTACCGTAGTTAATATATATTCTACCATAATATATATATATATTTCTACCACTCTGCCATTGTTGCCCTGGTCCTCAGCATTCTATGTCCAGGTGCCAGTGCACCTTCTGTGTGTCCTCATCCTCTAACTGCCATAGCCTGTCACTTTGGCCATTGTCCTGCTGCTCTCTGGATCATCTCTGTTATGGATGTCCTGCATGGCATCCTACTGCCACCCTTCCCCTGCCACCAAAGGCCCTGTGGCCTGGCTCCAGCTCAGATTTCCATTACCTTAACTCACTTGTCTGCCCTTACACATAGGATTCCTGCCACCCACGGCACACAATGGCAGAGCCACATCTCTGTTCTCTCATCTGGAGAGCTGGTGATCCTTCCAGTCCAGTCAGATACATTACATGTAGGTTTACTTATTCCCAGAGACATCCACAAGTTGATCACATAGCCTCCAGTTAGGCTGTTGGAGCCTAGAGCTATTTCTGATTCACTCTGAGAGCCCTGTTGTCTGAGGTCTACAGTCTACAGTTACTGAAGAATGAGCTGTCCCCCTCCACCTGTCCCTCCCGGGACCCCGTGCATACGCAGTGGAGTGCAGTGTTCTCTCAGGCGGTGTCTTTGGAGCCACGGTAGCAGGGCTGGCACCTGTGTGTCACTGTTTCCAAAGACAGTGTCTTCAGCAGACATCCCACAGCAATGCTGCCTTTCCCAGGAAGGCCGTGAGTAGCTGAGGGCCCACTGTGCATTTCACCTCTAAGAACGTCTCTTTCTTGATTTAGGGCATACCCACCCTGGTGTACAGACGTGACTGGGACTACGAGCATCTCTTCTTGAGCATCAAGAACAAAATGGCACAGGTGCGCTTGACAGCCCTCTATCCACTACAGATAGCTCCAGCCTCATCCTGTGTCTACTGTGAGCTCTGGCATCTCAGTGTTTGAAGAACCCGGGACTCCTGTAAGCCCAGGCTGTCTACACAGGGAAGCAGGGCAGCAGTTCACCAAAGTTTCTTGTTCAGTTTAAACACACTGACGAGCAGGTTTCTTAATAACATATCACAGTTGTGTACGCTGAGGCTAAACAGTCAGAGAACTTCAATGTGTCCCTGCTCTTTCCTAGCAAGTCTGAGAAAGAGCCGAATAGCTATGTCTCCTCCTATGGTTGTTTTTGTTTTGTTTTATTGGGTTTTTTTTTTTCAAGACAGGGTTTCTTTGTGCAGTCCTGGCTGTGTTGGAACTAGCTCTGTAGACCAGGTTGGGCTCGAACTCACAGAGATCCACCTGCCTCTCCTTCCTGAATGCTGGGACTAAAGGCGTGCACCAGCACTGCCTGGCTATAGGGCTGTTTTGAGGTTCCCTGAGTTTGTCTCTATTTCTGTGGAGTCTGGAGGGCTGCCTGCATGTAGTGTGCACCGAGAGTCGGCCGTGTGCTTTCTGGAGAGCCTGTCCCAGCTCTAGCTTGAGCAACGACAAGGCTAAGCTCTTCTCTCCTGATGAGAAACAAGAAGCCCAACCATAACCCTAACCTTGCATTTTGCTCCCAGAACCCACTTACCAACTCAGCCATCAGTGCCATCCGTGGACAGCTACAGTCCTACAGTGATGCCTGTGAAGCTCTGTCTATCATAGAAGTCACCCTGCGTTTCCTGAGCACAGCTGGCGGGGATCCTGGCATGGACCTGAATGTGTACATTCAAGATATCCTACAGATGGGTGATCAGACAGCTCTGATTTCAAAGGTAAGTGCTAGTGCTGAGCCTGGTGGTATATACCAGTCATCCTAGTACTCTGGAGAATGAGGCGGGAAGATTGCAAGTTCAAGGTAAGCCTGGGCTACAGAGTGAGTTCCAAGCCATAGTAGGGTACTAAGCAAGACCATGTCTCAGAACGGGGGGGGGGGGTCTGTTGAAAAGTATTACATGGGAAATCGGCATGGCTTCCTACCTAATTCTACCATGTATCAATGTAGGAACCCCAGAAAAGAGAAAAATCAAGAGCATTCCTCACACAATCGGTCCACCATGCACACAGCACACTTGAGACAGGAGAGTAACTAACGCATGGTCCATGCTGACCATCTGGGCTGAGCTCACCATCTGTGAGCACTGCAGGTCTGCAGTGTGTGATGTCATGACTGTTGCTGCAGAATGAGGAGACCGTTAAGGATGGGCCAGGTGAACTTGTGGAGAAGACTGTCCCACGACAAGGGGAACAGAATGTGCTCAAGACAGAAATGGGGGAGAGGGTGTGCCTATGGTGTGACACATGGGTGACACATGTGGGACTTGTGCCTTCCACTGAGGTTCTGTGTCTCTTTCAGGTCTTAGACAGATGTCAGCTCAGACATGTCATTGCCCTCTGGCTGTTCCTATCTGCACATAAGTCAGAACAGCGGCTGCGGCTGAAGAAAGTGAGTCTCACTTGCTTTCCACTGTGGAGGGAGCAGGAAGCCCCCAGGTCCCCCAGGTCTTAATGTCCACTTGTTGGTCCTTCGCTTCAGGAGGTGTTTCGGGAAATTGATGTGAAGTACAAAGAGGACCTCAGTCCACAGCACGCCAGGCTCCTCCACACATTTCTGAATGAGGCAGGCCTGGACGCCTTCCTCCTAGAGCTCCATGAGATGATTGTGCTGAAACTCAGAGGCCCCCAGGCTGAAAGTAGCTTCAACCCCAGATGGAGGTATGGCCTTGTATGCTGCTGGCAGAATGCTCAGCTGTCCAGTGGCTTCCCCTGGACTTGAAGCTAGTCCTAACTTACCCAAGACCCCTTTTCTGCTCATTGTCCATGCCTTTGGTATTTTTGTTCCTGTGGTTTTGGTTTTCAGTTTGTCAAGACAGGATTTCTCTGTGTAGCTCTGGCTGTCCTGGGACTCTAGAATTCTATAGACCAGGCTAGTCTCAACTCAAAGATCCATCTTCCTCTGCCTCCTGGGTGCTGGGATTAAAGCATGTGCCACCACTCCAGGCTTCGTTGGTTTTAATTTCTTGAGTTTTCTAGTTGATGGTAGGAGGTTAGGGAAATGGCCCAGCAGGTTTGCTGGTTGTACAAGCATGGGGACTTGTGTTTAGATCCCTGGCACCCACGTCAAAGTCTGGGTATGACGACATATGCCTATATCCCCAGCACCAGGGGTGTGGTAGAGGAAGACAGGCAGGTCCTGGGAACTTGCTGGCCAGCTGGCAAAAAAGTAAGTTCCAGGTTCAGTAAGAGATCCTGTCTCAAAGAGAAAGTGGGAAGTGATAGAGTAAGATACACAATGCTGTCCTCTGGCCTCTGGATACACATGCACAAGTATGTACACACATGTACATACCACACACAGGAAGGGCAGGCAAACAGGAAGGAAGGCTGGGGATGTAGCTCATTGGTAGAGTGTTTGCCTAGCATGCACAGAGCCCTGGATTCCTTCCTCAGTGCTGCAGAGATGGCCATGGTAAAACACACCAGTAATCCTGGTTCTCAGGAGTTAGAAGCAGAAGGCTACATGAAAACTTCAAACAAATTCATGCATTCTCCTTATAACAAGTAGACTTACTATGTCAAACAAGTGTTCACTGTAAAGTTGATTAAAAGCCACAGCGGTGTGAAAAGGCTACAGAACACGATTAGCCGTCTCTTCCAAGTATGTCGATCTAACGCTCCAACACCAGCTTCTCCTTTTCATGTGCACATCCCGACTGTGGAGGCACTTAATGGCTGGGCACATTTTACACTCATCAGTCATTCGTGAATGATGTTCTTTATTGTTTTTGCTTAATTTGGGGACTGTTTATCTCTTTTGAAACTTTTATTACATGTGTTTGTGTGTTTTCCCTGCATATAAACCTGTGCACCACTTTAATGCCTGATTCCCTGGGTGGTCAGAAGGATTCTGATCACCTGGAACTGGAGTTAGAGAGATGGTGTGAGCCACCATGTGGGTGCTAAGGATCAAACCTGGGCTCTCTGATAGAACAGCCAGTGCTTAAAATCACTAAGGCATCTCTCCAGCCCTGGCTGTTTATCTCATAATGGTTTGAAAAGTTCTTTGTATAGAACAGAAATGAACCTTTTGTCAGCATTATATAAATGATCTCAAGCTTTAGTTTTACCAAGTGAAATCTGATGATTTTTCTTATAAAGTATCTATAGGGAAACACACAAGCAAGAGTCTGCCTCATCATGCCCAGGATATAAAACATCCTCATGTTTTCTGCTGCTACACCACACGTTTGTTTTATTGGCCAGTTATGTGTGGTGTGAGGCAAGGACTGAACTGTGCCCTTTCTCCTGTCTTTCTGCTTTTTGAGACAAGGTCTTGCAGCCCAAGCAGGAAAAGAACTCAGTCTCCCTTCTAAGAGCTGGGGTGATAGGCATTTGCTGCCTGTTCCTCTAAACATTCAAACTCCAGCTTTCCTCAGTCATCATTTTATATTTTCTCTTTCCTTCCAGAATATTATATGGCGTATGCCTATGTACATCTGTATTTTCTAAACTTAGATGAAAAGTCTCTACTGGCCTAGACTTAAAATACTAGCCCTGTTCTCTTTTCTAGAATTTGCAGTCTCTTACTATAAGAGTAAGAGAATATAATGGTGAGGCTTTGATTTTTCCACATGGCCCCACTATTCACATTAGCCATGCCAAGAGCCATCTAGCTCTGCTGTGAGGCCAGCTCCCTCCACAGGAGGGTC